TGCCGCTTTGCATTTTCAGCAAAGAATTATAGAACCGTAGTTTTTAATATTCGAAAATTCATTATTTGAAGCAAAAGTAGTAATTTTTCTTTTCGAATACTTAATTATTCCCATGGGCTACCAATCGAGCATGGGACCATTTCAAAATATGTAATTCCTAATAACAAAGTTGAAATTCGAGTTTCAACTGTTAATGTCTAAACTGGATAGTCGCACTTTATTTAACCGATATTTTTCAAGTCAGCTTTGGAAAACATCAGAATTTAAAAACGTTACATTTGAACCAGTGATGCCATACTAGGGAATTTTTTCTTAGTTCCAAAGGAATTTGGGTGAAACAGACTTTAGTTGTAACGTGGAAGGAACAGCACTAAATTCGCAATTTTAATCCATCTTTGAAAATATTCCGCGTCTAAAAATACCATTTTCGTCTGTGCGCGCTTGTCTATAAAAAGTCACAAATTGCAAACAATCTCAGATAAAGAGTTCAAATCTCCTCTTTAAGTCAAAAACAATTTGATAATAACTTGCACAAAATAACGATTAATTGAKAATTTCCCATTTTCAATTGGGCGTGGTTGTTTCTAAAAATTCATTCGTTGCAAACTGCTGCAGGTGAACAGATGAAACTYGAGATTCTAGTAAAAGAAGCTTCAGTTGTTATGTGTAGGAAAATGCAATTATTTCTAAACGTTCAATGATTTTTGAGAAATTCTCATCTAATATTGATTTTCTATTCGTGTAGCCTTGCCTTAAAAAATCACAATCTTAAATTTAGGGCCGATAAAAGCCTGAAATTAAAAAAAACTCTCCAGACGATTTCCTATCTCGTCCGGGGCTGTTTATTGGGTTTCCTCGTCTGTCTGGCCGCTTATCAGCTCCGTTGGCTCTTTATCAACATCCAAAATTTCCTGTGGGCATTTTGTTTTAACGAGCCGCAGGTCTGCCGGGCTGATAACCCGTTGGCACAGATATACATTGAAACTGCAATATTTAAATGCGAAATGTTTTCCATATCAATGGCCTACCTCAACGCACTTTGAGCGTTTATTTGCATACTTTGTTGTTTCGTTGTTAACTTTAATGTTCAAGTAGCTGTGTGCGGTTGGTTTGCCTGCACCGGTTTAAGTCCATAAATTTATCGATGGGTTTCTGCCGAGAAGTTTATTATTTTTTATTTTCATTACTTATTTTTTCATGACAATACTTGGAAATGAGCAATTTTGTGTAATTTGTGTAACGGTGGCGATATATTTTCTTTAAACAAAAATATTTTTACAGGTACATTTGAGGGAACAATGAAGTTTTTCGGGGAGCATGTATGCAGATAACACAGCTCCAGACGCCTAATAAAAACGTATTAAAAGAAACCAATTTCCAATGATTTTTGAGGGTTTTGCAAAGTTTCACCTAAGAATTACATTTTCAATTGTGCCTGGTTGTTTCTAAAAATGCATACGTTGCAAACTACTGCAGGTGAACAGATGAAACTTGAGATTCTGGTAAAAGAAGCTTCAGTTGTTATGTGTAGGAAAATGCAATGATTTCTAAACGTTCAATGATGGTTGAAAAATTTACGATCTCTCATCAAAAAATTGAATTTTTTATTCGTGTAAACTGGTCTTAAAAAATGGACTTTTGTTGTTCTGCATACGAAATAGCAAGAAATTTGGAACATCGATTGAATTTTGACGATTTTGCAAACTTCCACCTAAAATTTGCCTTCACAAATTCATACGTTGCAAACTACTGCAGGTAAACAAATAGAACTTGAGATTCTGATAAAACATGTTGATGATTCAGTTGTAATTCGTATGAAATTGCAAATTTTTTTTAAACGATCCATGAGTTATGAGAAATTCACTCTCAACTGAAAAATCAACATTTATTTGTGCACGCTTGCCTAAAAAAATTATAAGTTGCAATCTAGGGCCGATAAACGCCCGAAATTTTAAAATTCTATAAAATAATTGCGAATTTAACATTTCGATTGAGTTTTGAAGAATTTACAACCTTCCAACTAAAATGGTATCTTCAATTGTGCGTGGTTGTCTTTAAAAATTCATACTTTGCAAACAACTCCAGGCAAACGGATAAAACTTGTGAATCTTATAAAAAAAGTTTCATTTTCAATGTGTACGAAATTGCAATCTTTTCTGAGCGTTCAACGATTTTTGAGAAATTTACGAATTCTCATCTAAAAATTGATTTTTTATTCGAGTACCATTGCCTTAAAATGATCACGCCTTTCGATTTAGGGCCGGTAAAAGCCTGAAACTTTTAAATATTATAAAATTGGCTTTTGTTCTATTTGTTCTACGAAAAGAACGAAATTTGGATCATCGATTGAATTTTTACGATTTGGAAACTTCCATACAAAATTTGCGTGTTTGTCTTCAAAAGTTCATACGTTGCAAACTACTGCAGGTGAACAGTTAAAACTTGAGGTTCTGAGGAAATAAGCTTCACTGGTGTGTCCAAAATTGCAAGGTTTTCTGAATGTTCAACGATTTTTAAAAACTTCACAAACTCTCATGTAGAAACTCAACTTTTATTTGTGTCCCCTTGTCTTAAGCAACTCAAGTTACAATTTAGGGCCGAAAATTTCATGCTTTATAAAATGGACTTTTGTGGTGTTCTGCGTACGAAGCATGCAAAAAATTTGGAACATTGATTGACTTTGGGCGATTTTGTAAACGTCCACCTAAAATTGTTCGTCTTCAAACAATTATACGTTGCAAAATACTGCTGCTAAACCTTGAGATTCTGTTAAAGGATGCTTCAGTCGAAGTGCTTCCGAAATTGCAATGTTTTCTAAACGACCAATTATTTTTGAGAAACTCACAAACTCTCAACTTTCATTTGTATACGCTTGCCTTAAAAAAGTTGGAATCTAGGAACGGTAAACGCCTGCAAATTTTTGCTTTTATAAAATGGGCTTTTGTCGTTAGGTAGATGTAGAAAATAGCAGCGAATTTGGAATTTCGTTGAGTTTTGCAAACTTCCTTGTTTGTTTTATTCGCATTTTTCTTTATAGAAAAACGGCGATTTAAGAGTGTTCAAAGTGGGATTTCCTTTGTCTGGTTGGTCCATATTCTTCCGACCTGCCTCAACCATCCACACCAAGGCTAAATGGAAAAATTCCCAATTTTTTGAGCAAAAGCTCTCGATGCCGACTAATCGGCTCAATGCAGCAGCGTTCTTTCGCTCGAAGGTTGCCGATTGTCTACAGCACTGTCCGAAAATAGAACTTTCGTCGGCAATATGTATGCATAGCACTGCTTAGACACGGTTTGTCAAAATAAATTCGACCGATATTTATTTGTAGACATTATCCATGTGCAAATGTATTCGCAGCCAGACCGAAGTAAACACGGCCATGCAGGGCAATGCATCAGTCCAAGGTTGCAGGAAAACAAGGCTGGCAACGGCCGCAGGCCATCTGCAACAATGTTTCTAGGCTGCAGTCGAGCCAGATGATTACTTGTAGCTGTGGAGCCACAGGAATTTTCATATCCAAACACCCTGTATATGCAGGGGTAGTCAATGCAACTGAACGCGTATTGATCATTGTTGCTGGCAGTTGGCGTTTTGTCTTTTTATTTACAGCTTTTTTGCAGTTTTTATCGGATCTTTCAGATGAAACTGTGGTGGTGCAACTTCAGCAAAGGTTGGCTGCCAGCTCTTGGCTGATTTACCGCAACTGAGGATTTTTCATCGATTTCAGATCAAAAGATGGGAGATATTCTGACTGGGTGGCAACAGGGTGCCAAATTGAAAATTCCCGATTGGAAACTCCCGAGAAACTTGGACTGGAAAACGTTGCAATCGTATGTTAAGGAAATTGCCAACGGCTTGAAAAACCGCGGATCAGCTCCACCAGCCGTGCAAAAGCCGCGGGTTCACATGAAGTTTCCCTACACCTTCAGTGCCCAAATCGCCCAGTTTCCCTATAAATTCTACTACAAAAACAACTGGATTGTTCGGACGTACCCATGGGGGTTTGCTCTGGCTCTGCCCATTTTTTGGTACATGGATCGCAAGGGTAAGTTGGATTCCTTAACATTAATTGTTCCTGTGTTCTTTGGCGTTTAATTGACTTCTTGCTTATCTCGATTAAAATGCTCGATCCGCGGCTGCTCCTTTCATCTGAGCAACCATATGGTTAATGTAGGTACCCTTGACACATATTAGCGATATGATTGAATATGCACAGCGGCCCCATTTCCGTTCTATCTCAACTTTAACCGGCAAAGTTTCAAGTTGTTTGCCAATTTTACTCTTGGAAGTACAGTTGCCGAGGACTTTCTTCTGATGGCCGGTTTTGGAGAATGTTCCCCAAAACACCCATTTTCGATTGCATGTGGTGCATCTCAAATCTTTCAAGGTTTGATGCATGTACAGGGTGATTGAACAAACGCGTCAATCCCCTGTTTTAAAGGACTGATTTCGGATTTACTGGCCTTCATCAGAAGTTTTGCCTTTATTGACCTTCAGCAGGGGCGTGCACTTTCAGAAATGGTTGCTGCGCAAGCAAATCATCGTTTTTCCGTTTAGACTTTTGTGCCGATTTCAACTTTTGCTTCGATAAAAGCTTGAAATTCTTGTTTTTTTTTTGAGGAAACTGCCAACATTTTCCCATCCATGGTTCACTTTCACAAAAGGTCATTTATTTCTCTCTAAAGTGATGTACAAATAAGCGTTCTTGCTCATTTTGCCTCCGAGAAATGAGCAAAAACGGGACGGAAAACATGGAATTTTGGCATAATCTTGCACCGA